GACATAATGTTACAGATAAAAGCACAACTGCCTGTTGACTTCATCAAAATTCTGCCGCCTTTGTGTCTGACTACAGATGTGGAGGACAGCAGATGTTGCACAGTACCGGAACAGTGCTAAAGGCAATCCTGCCCGAGCGTGCCTCTCTGCTCAGGGACGTCGGAGAAGCACGCTGGTTTGACTGACAACGTGAGGAGTTACTGTTTTCATGTTGGCTCTTGCAGAAACAGTCTTCAGGATAGACCTTCGGATCTCCAGCGCAGTATCTCCTCACGCTGCCATCACGTGCAAGTCACAGCAGCATGTTTCACACCATCGCTTAGGCATCTGGTTGTGACATTCTTCTTCTATTTGCTATTACCTTCACTTGAAGGATTCTTGGGGCTGTCAGACCAAAATAAATGTGTGATCTTGGAGGCAGAGAGCCATAGAAGTTTTCCTTTCAGAATTATTGCCAATTTTACTGGCAAAAAGTTCTAAATGTGTAATCTCCATGCAAAACAAATACCAGCAAACCAGCCATAAGATGCTAATTAGCAGAAGCGTTGGTGTTAGGCACACCAAGATGAAACAGGAGGGTCTCAGTGCTAATAAGGACATGTTGTCTTAATATCAAAACCCATTTAGCAAGTGTTAAACTCATTGCAACTATTGAAGGAAAATGTCCTTCTGCATCCTTTGAATCATGAGACCTTATCTGAGCTGGAATTTTAAATTAACCCTTTGTCACATTTCTGCATCATAAACCCATTTTCAAATGAGATTGATTAGCGTTGCCGTAAGCAGAAAAGCTAGCGACAAAAAAAGAGAGGAAGACTGATATCCCCATTTTCTTTCTAATGGTGAGGAAATTTGGAAATGCTTCATTTCTGCTGATGATAATTTTAAGGCCCTTCCAGGCTTTTAAGAATGACTAATGGTTTCACATGCGTCCAATATGGAGTAGTAAGCGTGAATTGCCTTAATGGATCTTACTTCTCAAGTACAAGTGAACACGTTCCTCTCAAAATCAGCCTCAAAGCCATGTGGGCACTGGGTGCGTAAAAACTGAGATTCTCCTGCACACCGCTCATTTCTAATCACAGAATAATTCAGGTTGGAGAGGACCTCAGGAGGTCATCTCATTCAGTGGCACTGGCATATGCTTAACCAATGTGTTTTAGCTAGTATTTGTTAAATTAAACAATGAATCGATATACCTGGGCCTATTCATGTCCATGATGAGTTGTACTTGGACAACGGTTGACATTTCAAAAAGTAAAATGTTACATAACAGCCGTAATACCTTTGAATGCTTTTCTTCCCTGAAACACGGTAGAAGGAAATTCTGTGGTGAATCCCCTTGATTCCAGAACAGCTGGGGTGTTACCTCTGTTTCTTCAAACAAACAAACAAAAAAACCCCAAAACCTTCAAATCCTTTAAAAATAAGTGTTTATAAAAATCTGCCAGAATACATTACTGGAGATACTGTAGCCAAGCATAGGTTTTCCCCATGCCTCCAAACCTTTTCTGTCCCTTTACCTCTTTCCACGGCATACGATGTCCTGCCCATCCCTCTGGCCTTCCCCCGGACTCGGCTCGCGGGCAGGAGCCGGCCCCTGCTGTCACCGCTCTGCCCCGTTGTGTGCCTGGTGTCGAGGGGCCGGGTTCTTGTTCTCTCAATAGAGATGTTAAAATTTCATGCTTCCCTAAAGCTTGTGTAAGCACCATTTAATTTCTTGGCATCGACCACGCAGTTCTAGTTTCCAAGGAATTTTTGCTGATATGATGTTGATTATGCATCAGTCGCCCTCAGTCGTTATTAGCAGGCTAAAGTGCTTCCCCAGGAGCACCTGCCTGATTTCAGCCTGTAGCAATAATTTGCAGAATACCTTGTATTTTATTTAATTATCTAGAATTAAATCGTATCTCACAATTAAATAATCATATATTAGCTTAATTTCTCAAAGACATAACAGGTAAGTATTTGGGAAATGCAGATAAGAATTTTTTGAATTATTATTTTTGCAATAGTAATGAATAGTTCAACTGTTGTTGCTTACTGAGTTTCTTTAAAAATTGATAGAATCTTGTGCTTTAGGGCCTGATTTCCTAGGAGAACATGCTAGTATCCTTGGAGTTTCACCTCTATGATAATTTCAGAAAAGATCCTATAAATAACAGAAGGTAGAAGATGATGGAATGCAGCATGTAACCTAGCTGGATTTCAGTTATAAATCTGGTAGTGTCTTTCGAAGTATGATCTGAGACTTAAATATAGTGCTACCTCCATGGACTCAAAACCGACTGAAAAGCAGTAAATCAAAAATTGTGACCAAAATATCCTTGCTCTGTATTTGGATGCACTGGAGTTATATAGAGCACTTCTTTAAAATACTGATAAAAATAAATATGCTACTAATCTGCCTAGAAATGCATTTCCAAATAAAGGCCAGTAGACTGAGGAACTATTTCCAAAATCCTAACACTGATAAAGAACTAGTGGTGGTAGCTGTAGATGGTTGTACAGCTGTTACAAACTGGCCATAAGCTTGGAGTTTGATACAGTATTTCATAACTATAAAAGCCCTTTTTGTGGTTTTTCAAATTGAAAATTAATCAGACTGAGTGTCTTCTGAGGGAGATGTTGATGTCAGTGTGCTGGCATGTTCTACAATGGAGCACGTTCCATGGGAGCATTCGCAGTGAGCTCCCACTGCAGTGAAGCATGAAAGGAAGACAAGGAGAGCAATCCTAAACCTCATCAGATTAATGTGACTCAAGGAAAGCTTTATGTGGCTGTAGCAATTTACTACTGTTCAAATGTCTGGTGTGTGGCTGAAGTGCTGCGAGGAGTTGTCTCAGGTAGTACGGTGGGAATAAGCCAGTATCAGCTGAATATTGGAAACTAGTGTTTTGGCTTCCACTATTTCTTCAGGAGACATTTTCATGGGAAATCCCTCATCTAAGATTAAATTAGAATACAGAGAATATTTCTTAACTATTTTTTCAGATGCTTTTGGGGTTCTGGAGATCTTTCCTAATAACTCAATATGGCCATGTAGCAAGGACCTTTGCACTGGCCTTCTTCCTGTGAGGTACTCTACCTTCCTTAGCTATCCCATTCTTCCCCAAAGATGGAACTCCCCCATCTGGAGTCTGAAAGTATCTGCAAAGCTGAAAAAAATTCAACTTGGTAAGAGGGTGCAAAATGAAAATAACATTTATCTGTTGCACTTTCTTCGTATAAAAACTTAGGAAGTTGAATATATGAAGTTTTCCTTTTTTTGACACTAAAATCATATGTCTGACAGATTTCTTCTCACCATGATTGATTTTTATCCCTTGTTTTAAGAAGCTGTTGGGAAGGCATACAGCTGAGCTTGCCTACTCTTGCCTCATGAACTATACATGTTCTGGGTGGGCTTTCCAGGAGCGCTCATGTCAGATGAACCCTGCTACCCTCTGCTGATGGCAAAATCACCACTGTCTTCAGTACAAGCAGGGAGCTAGGCAAAGGCTCTTCTTTATATTAGCTAGTCAATACTGGTTGGAGGGCAAGTGCTAGATCTCAAAGGCTTTGCGAACACTTCCAAACTTAGAAGCAGTGTTGATGTATGCTTGCCATAAATGTATGATATGTGTGTTTATGTCTGATGCAAGATCATTTCTCATCTCTTTGAGTCTGTCTTCTCTATGTGACACATGCAGCCTAGCTGTTCTTTTCTTTCCTGGGTGCGTACTGCTACTGTAAAGACATACAAGAAATTATTTGGCTCGCTACTGTAAGACTGTATGGTTCTTGGAAGCACTATATATTCCTCTAATTTAAATAAGAAGATGGACCATACTTTCAGTATGTAATGAATTGCTAGCTGATTTTCCCTTTTGCTGGTTCCTAATCTGCACTCTTCTCTTCTGTAAACTCTATCTCCTGCCTTGTGACCCATGCACCACTCCTTGCTGGTGGCCAGCAGAGTGCTGCCAACTCAGGTCTCCAATATAAAGAATTGCTGTGGGAAGGACAGCACTGGATGCGGTGACAATTTAATTGTGATGAGAAAAGTAGGACAGCTTCAGCTGAGAGGACTGTGATGGTTCCTCTCCTTCCCCAGTACGTCCTCCCATGTGGTGAGCACCCCTCACTGAGCTGGGGCGGGCAAGCCCCGGTGTCCCACATCCCTCGGGATCTCCAGGAGACCTGCCACCTCATCCCCTCTGCTCCCTTTCTTCTTGCAGGACATACTAATTTGCTGTGATTTTCTAATAGCGTTAATGAGAGTGGTAGCTATGCTGTGAGGCGTGCTGCAGGGCTGAACCTCAAGTTTCCAGCACCTTGTGAGCAATGGGTGCTCTCGGGGCTGCAGAGCGGGTCCCTGCTAGATGTACATGTGTAAGGAGTGTGAGGCCTTTCTGGTGAAAGTTTTGTTTTCAGTCAGCCTCCTACAGTTGTAAACTAACTCTTGATTTCTTAGATAAAATAGCCATGCTTCATTCCAGTGATTTCTCGGAACAGTGTATGTTTGATAACACTAACAAGATCCTTTTGAAAAAGTGTTTGTAAAATTGTGAATGGATATGGGTTTCTTTCTGAGAATGTCAAATCGAATAAACCCAGTACAGCACTTAGTTAAAGAGAAGTTAGATGAATTGTTATTTGGTCTGAAATACTTGGATTACATCCAGCTGAACTTTGGTCCTGACCTCCTAGATGAACAGGCTTTAATATTCTGGGACATGAAGAAATCAAAAAGTTCAATGACCAAGCTTTTCCAGATTGGTAAATTATCTGTAAAGAAAAAAATACAATTTTCAAGCGTTTCAATTTGCTAAATTATTTATTTAATGCTTTAAAGATATGTGTTGTAGCAGCTGCACATGTATTCATACAATGTTATAATTATAGCAAATGGATGATGATAAAAGGGAAATCATGAAAACTGGAAAATGATCAGTGATTTATTCTTTGCAGATATTTAAAAACTATACTTTAATCATATGCGCTCTTAAAAATTTCAGGTGTTGTTAAAGTGGATTATGGTGATGTATCAGCAAGAAAAGCACTAAGAGAGACTCTGAAGTGTAAACCCTTCTCGTGGTACTTAGAAAACATCTATCCAGACTCCCAGATTCCAAGACGCTATTACTCACTTGGTGAGGTATGAATTATTTACTTTATTAAACTAAACTAAAACAATAAATAAATAGTGCGAATGGGTTAATTACTAATAAGATGGAGTGTTTCTGGAGAAATGAATAAAGAGCTTGTGAACTTTCTCTGTATTTATTTATCTTATGTCCTGAGCAGGTTTTCTTTTTTCTAAATCCTTCATAAGGGTGTAATGCTACTCTGAAAATGTTCCTCGTTAAAATTATATGTATCAAATTGAGTAGTATATTGAAAAAATAATGTTTGTGACTAATCTTTAAACTTATTAAATAATATGCAGTAGTGGAAGGAAACTTTCCATCATCATTTATAGCTTCTACGCAGGGTAGAATAAGCACTTTTTTCAGTAAAATGTTTTTATTTATTTATGCTATGTTTTCCAGCAAGGCTGCCTAGAGCTGAATCACAAACATACCTAAAAATCTGGTGATTTGAGCAGAACCAAGAACTGAAGTCTCTTTAGAATTCAGTTAATTTACTATTAAAAATACTCTACTGAATTGTATCTAAGCTGACTTTTAAAAGCTCTTGAATGTTTTGATTTAAAGATAGCTACTGATGGAACAGCAACCAAAAGAACATATGGCTTTATTACATCCAGGAAAGTAATCTGCTATTGAAACTTGCAATTGCAGTGAAAAATAAAAGTCACAGTAGGGTTTCTAGTTTAACCATGGCAAAATAAAGTCAAACATGGTTTTACGGCAAGGAAAAGCTCATCTAACAGGTGTCAAATAATACAATTCTCTATGATATTGTGAGACTGGAAAATAGAACTATGTGAAAATAATAAAATAGTTATTAAAAACACCTTATTTTCTCCAGCACGGCCTCAGTTTCCATGGGAACGGAAACTCAGGCAGGAGCTACAAATTAAAGCTCATGCTTGAAGACGTCAGCTGCTGACTGCCGGTGGAGCAGTAAAGTGGATTTTTACACTTATAGCATAGGTATAATCAGCAGTAATGGAGAATTCAAAAAAAATCTGAAGTGCGTTTCTCAGAGTAATTTTCCTGCCTTTCAGCAGACCTCTGCTCTCAGGTAGGACAAACTGCCCAGCTCGTTGGTTGGGTTGGGACCCCGGCGGCCGGGGGGGGTCCCCCCCCCCCCCCCCCACCAGAGGCTCTGCGCCCAGGCTGGAAGTCGGCATCAAAAAGGAGCTGCTCAGCAACCTGTTGACTTGCACCCTAGGTCTGCTAAGTACAAAGATCTGATTTTCCAATAAATATGGGAAAATCATTCTCTAATATAGTGCAATCTAAATGTAATGAGTGTTCAGTGTGGGGCTGCAGACTTGCTCTCTGAGGATGCACGCTTCATTCTGTTGTAGAAGAAACAGTGATGAAAAGGAGGAGTAATTTTCACCCGTTTGGGATAATCATCCTAAATTTACTTATGACTTCCTGCAAGACAGTGCAGGCATAACTTGAAATGAGGTAATGTTCATGTTTGGTTCACTTGTGTCCTAGCACCACCCAACGTTTTAGCAGTAATGATCAGTAGTATGTGGCATGTTAATTTGAATTGTATTTGACTATTGCCAGTACAGCTAATTGAAATATGACTATTGCTTTTATAAATGAAATGCACAGTTTTGAACTGAGATTTTGAAAGTGTGGAGCTGCACAGAACTGAAGTTCTTGAGTAGCTTATGAAGCATATGCATCATAGATTTAATTAGCAGATCCTGAAAATTGCCGGTTTTTATTTGAAACTCAATTTTCCCCTTCAATTAGGACAGAACTCCTATCCAGTTAGATGTGCTATTAGATCTAAATTTCCTAGACTGATGAAAATAGGCCTCTGAAAGGGTGGAAAGCTTTTTGCAACATGTGATGAATGTTAACTGTTCTTTAACTTTACATTTGACTCATGTAACACTGAAACTGGATGCAAAGTCAATGCAAGACAGGAATTATTTTGTAAACCCAGGACATAATCATAGATGAATTTTCAAGTAATGTTTGTTTTAATGAATCAAGGGGTTGCAAAATACTAACTTGTTTTCTATGGAAATACTTCAGACTCTATTTCTACAAAAAGGTAATTTAAGAAAAAAGGCTTGAAGGGAGCTTTTCATGAAATTAAGTTTGTCCTGGGAAAATCAAAGTAGCTCAGTCGGATGTGTAATGATTTTTTTCCCCAGAACAAAGACGAAGTTTCAACAGGTTTCCCATTTACTCGCTGGTCAGGATTGGAATAATTCCCAATTGTGAGATCGTGATGCTTGTTAACAATAAGAAAGTCCTGCTGTTCTTGAATTATCGTTTGAACAAACCATTAGGACACAGTCTTGGGACTGCAGTGACCTTGGTGGCCGCAGAGTGGAAGGCAGCGCAGGACAGAAGAGACCCGAGAGCAGGACCGTTGGGTCCCCGCCGGCAGCTCCAGCACCGGGGCCTCTAAACAAGGGTCGTTTATTATAAAAGTTGACAGAAACGGATGGAAAGTGATTGAAAACAGCGGTGTGTTTGTCATCTGGAAGCCCGAGGTGGAAAAGCGTCGGTCCTTGAGCAGGCTCTTGAACGGCGTTTCTGCTTACAGCCTGTTTGCTGTTTCCTTTAGCAGCACTTGGAAGATTAAAAAATTAAGAGTGTGAGCCCCTGAGAGATTATTCTCTGGCAAAAGACAGTGCTTCTTTCTGTATGGTTAAAAACGCTGGAGTGGATTAAGAAGCAAATGCTTGAGTTTGTTGATCCACTCTTTCAGCGAATTTATAGACAGATTTTACTATCTCATTTTACTTGCTGATTTAATTCCAGACTAGTGGCATTGATTTACTATTTGCTTCAATGCCTGTTAAACCTCTTAAAGCGACATAATTACAGGATGACTGATAATTGTATTAAATGTCACTGAAGCATTTTCAGAATGCAGAGTTTCAGAATAGCTGTACAGAAGAAATGAGAGAGAGAGAAAATATACATTTTTACTTTGTGTCCTTTTTGTAAGAAAATCACCCCGTGCTATTGAAAGTGGGAAGGAGCAAGGGGACCCTCATTTATACAGCTGTCTGACCCGACTTGGAGGAGGGTTAAGAAAGCAAAGTCTGGCGTGCATCTGCTGGGGTCCCCGCGCCGCGGCAGCGCGCGGGCGCTGCGGTGCCTCCGCCGCTCTCCTCCTTCGCAGCTCAGGTTGGCTGTTTGCTTTGGTACGTGGCCGCTCTGAATAAATGTGTATTTTGAAAGTACGTTTTGGAGAGCGATGCTCTGATGTCTGCGCTGATGCTCTGTGTTGCGCGTTAGAGTTGCACGAGCTGAGCGCTGCTGGAAGGGGATCGCCGCGTACCGCAGAGCAGCGCCGGCGGCGGGCTGGTGCAGCTGGCTCCTCCACCGCTGCGCTGGGCCGAAGTGGTATAAATGTTGCTTGGTTTAGGCGGAGATGTTCACTATGCTGTTTGGTTTTATTTCTGTACGTAGGATATGTCCTTCCACAGACAGGTGGGTTCAGAGGGGACAGTTTGAGTTAAAAAGGTTGTCACTGTCTGTTGGGGACACCAACATACCGTGTTAGAGCAGAGAGGAGAGGATGTAGTTGGTGAAGAAGCTGCCCAGGAGACGCTTGTCGGGAAGAGTCACAGAAAAGGAACTGTTGGTAGTCAGCTTTCTGCTGTGCGAGAGCGGAGAGCGGAGTCAGCCCTGCTGGAAGGAAAGACTAGTGCATCATGGAGGTCAGCTCTTAGTTTGGTATTGTTTAGAAATGAAAACATATTTTGCTTGGTAGATAAGACAACACTGTGCACTGAATGAGATTTGACTTGAAAGCTGTTCGTGCTTACAGTTAATACGCGATTTAAAACCTCACTCATTGTACTTATTTGTAATTATTTTCTTTTTTTTTTTGAGGTATTGTGAATGTGACATACTTGCACACTGGAAGTTAAAACATTCATATAGTTGAATGCGCAAATATGTACTTTTTCATTCAGTTATGTGTCTTATTCTGCAAAAATATGACATTTACAGACATTTTTTTCAAGGAGCATTTCATCTTTTTCTTTCTTTCAGATCAGAAATGTTGAAACCAATCAGTGTTTAGACAACATGGGCCGCAAGGAAAATGAAAAAGTGGGCATATTCAACTGCCATGGCATGGGAGGGAATCAGGTAAAGAGCCCAAACCATTTATTGTCTGTGCAGTAATTACTGCAATCTTCAATCTCCTACTGCGTAACCATACGCACTACAGTTACCCAACAGACTGAATTCGTCCCAGGCAATGCTAGTGCTGGTTTCTCCTGTGAGCATTTCTTCCTTTCCGCAGACAAAGGACTATTATTTTTGCATATACAGTGTTTAAACAAGCAAGTACTACT